ATTTTCTTAAAATTGAGACATTGCTTCTATTTACATTTAACTACATACTTTTACCCCTTTCATTATTATGTTAAATGTACTAAATGGTCCCTAATCATCTTGATATTCTCAATTTAATCCAAAAGTTCTCGATTTTACCTTTAATGTAATGAAAATTCTTAATTAAGACATTTTGAAAAAAAAAAATGTCCTTAGAATTTGTTAATTGAAACCTGAAGTACTTTGGAGGAAAAAAAAAACTTAAAACTAAAGTGTTAGTGTTATTAAATTACTGTTTTATTACCAAATTTGGACATAATAGAAATGTTGATGAGTTGGTAAAATTTAATTTATAAGTAAGTTAAGTTTATGTTGATTTCGAATATATTAACTAGACAATTATTTAATTATAAATCAACTTTTTCCTTAAATAAATTTCAATATATATATTTTTTTTTCTTTTTCTTTTTTTTGAAAAAACGTAATTAAGAACCTTTAATTGCACCATCAATAAATTTCAAAATTTTAAAAGATTAAAAATCAAAATATAAATTACGTGAAATATAACGTACCATTTCATATTTTTACATTAATTTTAGTTTAGAATAATGGAGAATCAATTCTATGATTAAATATTAGTATATTATATTATAATATCAATATCAACATCAACCTAGTTTAACTAAATACATTGATAATTTCCAAACAAATGTTTAGAAAGCAATCTACATTACAGTGTATTTATATATGAATATATACTTTTTATGGTTAGAAGATTATAAAAAAATAATAATCTGTTAGAAAATTTATGCAGAAGATTCAAGTATTCAAGAAGGTACAATATGGATCGAACTCACATCTTAGTTGGAGATTTATACCAATCATTATCTACAAGTACTTATTAATTATTATTATTCCTACAAAATTTATACGAGAATGACTCGTGTCTCTCTCTTTTTTATTATAATTTTTTAATGGGAAAAGTTAGTGTATTTCTAAAAAGATAAATTATAGGAAAATAAAAAACCTTAATTGAGAAAAAAAAATTGTATAAAACTTTTAATTAAGAAAATGTTCGCTTCCGTTTGGAGAGTCTTTGTAAAAAAATTTGTTTTGTATGAAAACGGTCATATTTTACATGTGAGACACGAAAGTTATAACATAATTCGTAGTAATTATGGATTTAGTTTGAACATGGACAAAATTTAGTTAGGTTATAATCAAATCTAATTAAACTTGGCTAATTTTGGTTTAGTTTGAATGGTAGATTTGATTACATTGGACCAAATATGATAAAAGTGTTTGTCAATAATATCCACGGCCACAACACAATCAATTAGAACCCATTAAGTGAAATTATATATTTCAATTAGAAACAAACAAAACATTAATAAATAGTCTACAATTATAATTATTTTGAGGTTGTTTTTAACCTGTAAAAATCCCTTCCAAACTTAATATAACTTCTAAATAAAATCATTTTGGAAGAATTATTAATGTAAAGTATGTGTAATATAATTTCACGTGATTTTTAGGAATAAAAAAACCATATTTATTTTAAAACTTGTTTTAAAAAAACATTTTAAAGTAATAGATGGAAAAGAAGTGATATTTTTTTAATCGTAACCAAATTCATAACTAAAATATTTTTTAATATCATTCTACGAAAAAAAATGTTCAAATTAGAGGGTATGTCAAACACACTTTAAGCTAAATTAAATATGGTTTATTAAACATCTCTATATCCCTTTCAAATTATAGTAAGTCCCAACAAAATGTCATAAGGTAAGAATTAAATTGTTACATATTAAAATTAAGGAATTTAATTGAACGATCAAAGACGTTTTTTAAACTCCTTTTTAGTACACAACATTTTTTTATGATATATTTTTTAATTAGTTGAACTATATTCAGATTCGCCGATAACTGGAGCGACTACTGCGCACGCATAATTTCTATTAGTCCCTCCGTCAATATTACAATCCCATGTTTCTCCAATTTTGAATCTTCTTTTAGTGTAAAGTGTTATTCAAACTTACCAAACCAAAAAAAAAAAAATAAATAAAGGAAGACAACTATTTTGGCATTACGTTTTTTAGTGGTATATTTCAATTTTGGCTTTTTATGAGGTGATGAGTTGACGTGTGAAAAAACATTATATATGAGAGAGAGAAATTTAGTCGAATAACAAAGACAAAATTAAAATTGTTATACGGGGTAGAATTAAATCTCCGCTCTTGTATCTATGATGTGATGTTTTGGACAAAGAAATAAAATTGAGGATCAACTGTACAGACTAAAATGGTATTTTGACCTAATTTTCTGGGATTAGTACATAGAGATTGTGTATTTGGAATTTACGTTTTTGTCTAAAATAATTTCCAAATTAGATGGTACCCATAACAAAAATTATTAATATATCTATCTCATTATTAAAAATATATTAAATCCTTCCAATTGTGCTAATTCAACTTTGAAAATCCTAAAACTCCCAAAATTACGTGACCTCCTTCTTTTCCCTCGATTTTCTTTCATTGCTCCGACTATCGGGCTTCTTCTTCCTCTGAAGCACCCGATCATTTCTCCGACATCGTCGCTGTCTCCGTCGCTGTCATTCCGCTGGTTACCATTATACGGTAACATTGTCGCTGTCTCCCTTCGTCTCCGGCGGCTCCATTATATCGGCTTCCGTAGCATGAGCATTTCAGTCCGTCGATTCCCATTATACCGTAGTTTATGCTATATTTAGGTTTCAATTTTGGACAGAATCGAGGTTCATCTCTTGCTCTGTGGTTCTATTGTTTAAATTAGTTCGCATATATGAGTATATAGTTCTGGTTTCTCTAGTTCTATTTTTGTAGGATATATATTATATCTAGTTTTAATTTGACGGCGAAAGAAGCAATCCATAGAAAGGTTTGGCGCCGCTCACTAAATTCTGTGGTTAATGATATTTGTAAATTGGTGGTTCCTCTTTGGAGAAAAATCAACAGAATAGCTAATAGCATAAAACGGATCCCAGTAAAGTATAAAGGAAAAAATGATATGCTGTTTTGATCTTTCTTTGTCTCGAACCCCATAYCCCTATAATAATGGTAGAGTAAGGGGTGGCCCCAAAGCGGACTTAACCGATGGTAGTTGGTCGAAGGTCCAGTAGGTAGTAGCCACTCCCTTCTCAGGGAACCGTACGTGAGACTTCCGCATCATACGGCTCCGTCCCAAGCTTCCGTCGTCGGCTTAAAACTAGAGATATAATATATATCCTATGGAAATAAAACCAGAGAATCAGAGAAATCATAACTATATACTCGTACATTATATCTCTGGTTCTATTGTTTTATGTATCATTTAACTAGAGATATAATATATATCCTAGAGAAATAGAACAATATCGAGAAATAGGAAGAAATAGAACAATACATAAAATTAGAGCTATAATATATATTATACGGAAAGAGAATCAGAGAAATCAGAACTATATACTCCGTATATTATATCTCTGGTTCTATTGTTTTATGTATCATTTATATCTCTAGTTTTATGGAGCAGAAATCGAAAGAAATGAGGATCATGAGATTTAGATATTTTTTAATTAATAATATTGATAAATCAAGAAAATCAATTTAGTGAACTAAGGGATTTGAATTGACAATTAAAATGGGACCACACTAATTAAAGGACTGTGATATTAATTTATGAAAATAACTATTTTATATTTCAAAAAAGCAAAAAACTATAATAAATGAAAATGCAATAAGTAGGAGTAAATTTGGAATTTAACTAAAATCTTACTTGCACACATCTAAAAGTGTAAAATTATAAAAATTTAGATAAGTTTCTAAGACGGTCATCCAAAGATATTATCGCTAATTTTTTTGAATTAAGATAAATTTGTAAATATATTAGGTAAATAAGTGAGATTGGTCAGAAGTGGAGTTTATGATAAATGGGCCTTTCAAACACACTCCATGGATTTTGAAATTTATTTGGGCCAAGTTTTTGAATAGTTTTGGGCCGAGTTCGTAGTGGCCCAAAATGCAGATTGCTGCTCCTTCATTTAGTGTTTCGATACGGGCTGAATTATTGGTCCACATATTAATAGTACGGAACCAAAATATATTGGGCTTGGGCAATTCCAAAAGTTACTAGTAGGACAAATAAACAATAACATTCTTTGTTTTCTTCCAATAGCATATCTTAATTTATTTATCATGATAAAAATATATTGACCTACAATGCATTTATATTTAACAATGTATAAATGCTAAAGCATGATTGACAATCTTCAAATTTAAGAGAGAATATTTTTTTCCCTAAATTCTACCCCTTCTTTTATCTTTCATTGTTGGGATTTTTTTTTTCTTCATCGTTACATCATCATAATTCATTAAAACTTATATTGTTCATTGAAAATATCTTCACTAATGGAAAGTTTGGTTCCTATACCGCTTTCGACTCAAATTTAATAGTGTACCTATTGGACGCCAATAAAAGAGAATTTTTACATGGGCTCATTATCTAATACACGAATAAAACAATTTAAAGGTGGTATGCAACCTAGAGAGATAGAGAGATGACCGTATCTCTTTGATGAATCGAGGTTGGGTTCATTTGATTCAAATAAGTTAGGGAGTTTTTTTTTATAGGAAAAAATTGCATTCAATATTGTACTCTTCCAAAATAAAAAATCATAAACACTGTAATTTTCTTAAAACTCTTGTTGTCTTTTATTTATTTATTTATTTTTATTATAAATATTTAATATTAGATGACCATTTAATTGTTGTCTAAACATTACATATGTTTAGTGTCAAAAGCTCCACTTGTCATATTGTCATCCATGCTCGGTGCCTTGATGCTCACACACCATATCGTAGATATTTTAGAAATTTCCTATAAAAACTTAATCATGATTGATGAAATAAGATGAGATAAAATTTGCGAAATTTATACCAACTTTTATATTACCGTTTTTTGTATTTTKWATTTTTAATTTTATCCAATTTAATTTTCTACTTTGTTTTGCCCTCGATTTTACAACATTTTTAAAGTTATTGGTGTTATAATATCTCCACACGGGCTTAAAATACCTGGCACGGTAAAAGCTGCTAACAGATTTTCTTCTCTCCCGCGTGTCTCTCTCTCTCTCTCTCTCTGTGCAGATCGGCAATGGCGGCTTCTATACCACGATCTTCCACGACTCCTCTTCCATGGTATATTTGCAGTAGATCCTCGCCCTCCAATCGCAGGGCCTACTTAATCGTCAATACTCACTCTTGCTGGAAGCGGCTTTGCTTTTCTTCTCGATGTTTATCTGTTCTTCACGGAGTCGGTGGCAAGAATTCGCGGTTCGTTGAAACGCAGAGTGTCATGGAGGACTCTACTTTCGAAGTAGCAATCAAAGATCCAAGCACGCTACCGAGTACGTTTCTATAGTTGCTAGCCCTCGCCTTTTGATTTTTGAGGTCACTGTGGCGCGCAGGTTTTAATCGAATTTTCGATTTCTTTTGTTTCGTAGGGCCTTTATCGTCGACCGAGTTTTCTGTTTCCAGTGGATCTCGCCTTCGTGTTGCCTACCAGGTGGCTATGTCCGTAGCATCTCTGTTGAACTAATTTATGGAGTAGATATCAATGCATGTCTTTGCATTTGCATAATGGAATGTTGGTGCGCTTTTAGGGGGTTCCTGGTGCATACAGCGAGTCCGCCGCGGCGAAGGCGTACCCGAATTGCGAGGCTGTTCCCTGCGAACAATTTGATGCTGCTTTTGAAGTAAGGACCTCGAACTGTGAAAATTTTATTGGATGAGTGCATCTTGAGTTGCTTCAATTAGGGATTTTTGGAGGGAACTTAGGCGTCTGAAACATTACCATGGCTGTTCGATTCTCTTTGACTTTGAATTGGTCGCACGATTCACATCGTGTCCTGCACCTGACTTTGAATTGTGCTTGGATCATTTCTTAAATTATTTTATGTATCGTACATTCGCCGAAGCTTTCTTCTCACCCCCCAAAAGTTTCCAAGAATTTGAGGATAAATTAGAATATTCATCTCTCATTTAGTTAGTTTATCCATAACTTTCAGGATTTTTGAAATTACGAGTTGTGTTTAACTAGTGTCTTCATAAGAATGAATTAGACATTGATCTTTCCTTTATTTTTAATTGATACGAACTTTTAAGATTTTAGAAATTAGGAGTAATACCGAATTCTTGTTCACATAAGGTTGATCATGTAGAATAGTATTTCTTGGATACATGATTACTTGATGCGATTTAAAATGTAAAATAATGAAAGATACGTTTCTCCTTCTTTCTACCTCAGGCTGTTGAACGGTGGATCGTTGACAGAGCTGTCTTACCAATTGAGAACTCTTTAGGTGGAAGCATCCACAGAAACTATGATCTTCTGCTTCGCCATAGGTTGCATATAGTTGGCGAGGTAAAATTTGCAGTTCGCCATTGTTTACTAGCCAATCATGGTGTTAAAATCGAGGAACTGACGAGGGTTCTCAGTCACCCACAGGTAATCAGAGCAGTCTTATTATATACACAAATTTTAATCTACCCCTCCCCTCCTTCCGGCTCAGCATTGTTCTTGTTTCAGGCTCTTGCTCAGTGTGAGAACACATTAACAAGGCTAGGATTGGTCAGAGAAGCAGTGGACGATACTGCTGGTGCTGCAAAGGTACCTAGAGTTTGCTGTTCAATTGTCTTTCTGTTATATATGATTTCTTGTCATTTTTGGTCTGCAGTGATTGATAACTCATCATTCTTTGTCTTCAAGCTACCATAATGGCTTATTAGAGATTCTGAGCAGTCTAGTTAGATATTTTGTGGATGCTCATTTATCAGTCATAACTCATAAGAAGGCTTGATCTGATGATCTTATGTTAATATCATTCAAATTTTCAGCATTTTGAATACCTTAAAATTAGGTTGCTTGTTCAGAATCATTGTTGATGAGATTTTTTGTATTATGCAGCATGTTGCTTTTCACAAATTAAAAGATGCAGGAGCTGTAGCTAGCTCAATTGCCGCAGCAATATATGGCTTGAACATACTTGCTGAAGATATTCAGGTGTTCGTCTTAAGCATTTATTTATCATTCTCTAGCCCATACATGCTCTCCTAATGCTGCACCGATTACCCATTTTCTTTCTTATATTAGGATGACTCTGACAATGTAACTCGATTTCTAATGCTAGCAAGAGAGCCCATAATTCCAGGCACTGATAGGCCATTCAAGGTTAGCTTTTTTTAGGGGAAAGATATCTATGGTCCTTTACTTCTTCGTATTCATGGTGTTTAGAGTAAGCAAATTGTAATAGATAATATGTCCATTGCCTTTTCAGACAAGTATAGTTTTCTCATTAGAGGAGGGTCCGGGAATTCTTTTCAAGGCACTTGCAGTTTTTGCTCTTCGTCAAATCAACCTTACAAAGGTATTTATTTTTGCCTTCTGATTATTGGACTCTTTTCAAGGCACCTGCCGTACAGGCTGATAGCTAAGCCCCCTTTGTTTTCTCAACCAGATTGAAAGTCGACCCTTGCGGAACCAGCCCTTGCGAGCATCTGATGATAACAATAACGGATCTTCAAAGTATATCCATCAAAGCCTTTGCTATATATATTCTCTTTACTCGTTGCCAATACATTTGTATCTCCATAAGTGGGAACTTTCCAGTTAATTCAATGGTTTTAAAATTTTATTTGGACTCTGTCTTCCCCCCTTTCCCCTTTCCCTTTCCCTCTCCCGTTCTTTTCTTTTCTCTGTTGCAGATACTTCGACTATCTTTTCTATGTGGATTTTGAAGCGTCGATGGCTGATCAAAATGCCCAAAACGCCCTTAGGCATCTAAAGGTGCGTTCCATCACATCTACCAAACAATATTTAGGAAATAAATCTTCACAATGGCAGGTGAATAGGAAATGACAAATTGGCTTTGACAGGAGTTCGCTACATTCTTGAGAGTGCTAGGAAGCTATCCAGTGGACACTAGTATGGCATGAAAAGTTACACCATCCAATAGACTCGGTATTTACCATTTCTTGGTCTACTTTTCTAAATCAGAGTTTCTTAGCATCTTTAATATTTTATGGATTGTGCTTGTATCGTAAAACTAGTCTTAGATTTGAAATATGAGTAAAATATTCTGAGAAATGTTGTGCCAATAATTCTATATTACATAGCTACTTTTTTCCTGACTTTTCTGAGCTGAATATTTTAGGGTAATATGGCATTAATCTAGCATAGCCATCGTCCTCAGTTCTCAACTTCCAAGAGGGATCATTAGTTGGCTTTCGAGGTAAGCCTGTGGCTCGTGGAAGCGTCTCTCTACATATAAAGAATCTGGTGGATTTCCCATGAAAACTAGTAGATATTACTTAGTTCACACACAGGTTTAGTATCTTTGAGCTAATTAAAATTATTCATTTACTCTACTATTTTGTCTCGAGTGTGTGGGTATCTGAGAGCTTAAATCAATTTTGTATTCAATTTTGGTTCGCAAATTTTTGGTTAATGTGTCGAACTCTAACATGTTCTTGCTAATTTATTTGTTCATTACTTCATTTTCTATTGAACCATGTCAGTTCTGAGTTTTGGTAGAGTGAGATGGGTTTAGATCTCACGCTCAAGGATGGTGTGGTTCTTTTGGTTTCCCTGGGGGATCAGCGACTGTGATTAGGAAGCTAATACTGTATGGATCAGATTGCATAGGGAGATTTGTTAGGAGTACTAACCATGACATACTTGTACTTATTTGACAAATTTGTTAGATTTGTATAGTTATAGTTTGTTTATAGATAGTGTGAGTGATGGAAGGAGATTTTGAGGAATCTTATGAGTACTAGGCCTTAGGAAGCTTACCTCACGTACCATGAGGTCCATGAGGTCTGGTGCTGGTGCTGGTCATAGTGTTTGCTCAGTCCAAGCTATGAGTTTCAGTTATAGGGATCAACTTAGCATAAGCCACATGATATCTATTCGAGGAAATAAAAAAAAATGAATTTCCCCTTGTTCCTTTTAAACATGTTAGGATTTCAACCTAGGTTGTTGAGAACCAATAACCATCATAATCATAAGGTCAATAGAAAAAGTAAAGTAATTAGAGAGAGGGGTGGAGTTCAAACTATGGTGTGGAAACAGGCAGCATTATCGTGGTAATTTGAAGATATCTTTTATCGTTCACTTCTAATATGACACATTACCTCTCAGTTATATGATCAATGAGATTAGTCATCTCTCGAGTAGAGCGCTTTTTCTTATGGGGAGGCATAGTTGTCTCCTTGATTGAACCTTCTTTCTCTAATAAGGCAGAGATCTTTCATGAATACGGTAGAACAAAAGAGAAAGAGTCCATGGTGCACATGGCTCACTCATACACATGAATGTTACAAAGAAAAAGAAAAAAAATAGACCTAGTTTGTTGATGCAGATCAATTGTTTCCAATGTCAAAACCACCCATTTGGACGTGCACTTTGCAGCTTTGTTTATGTTTTTGGTTTAAGAAAGAAACAAAAAACTAAAGAATAGATGAATTTGTTATAATTATTTAAGTATATAAAAGTATCATGTTTCGTTATATAATAATTCAATGGTAAAATTTCAAGGCATCGGTAACTTTTTTATAAATTATGTTTGCAATATTCTATAAATTTTTAAACTAAAAAAAAACATTTTAAAGTATTCTAAAACGAAATATTTAATTGGTATTTTAAAAAAATCATTTTAAAAGTATTTCAGAAACTAGAACGAAATATTTAATTAGTATTTTTCTCAATCTAAAAACATTCCCTTGTAAATGTTAGGATAAATATATGTTTTTATTCTTTCAATGTTCCTCTAATGTTTAAAAAGTTTTAATTTAATCTTTAATGAGAAAATTGACAAAAAAATTAGAAAATAAAAAGGTCATTAAGAGAGGAAAAAAAAGGAAAGAAACCTCTACATGTAATTTTATTTTAGTTTTTTTAGAAAGGAAACCTCTACAAATTACTTTGAAGAGGATATACATATATTATATATATTTTCTTTAGAAAGGAAAAGTTAAACCACCAAACTAGGTTCAGGTTGAACTAAATTTTCTTCCATTGAATCATCAATCGCTTTGAGAGAGTCAAACTCTAGATAAAGCAATCGACAATTTTCTGTCTTGAATTGCGTTCAAACTCTAGATAAAGCCATCGACAATTTTCCATCTTGAATTGCGTTCTTCTCTCATATGATATTCGCTAGTCGATAATGTCATATAAGTTTACTATTAGATATTTGAGTAACTCAATTGTAAAATGTTAAAAAATTAGTGACTAAATTAAAAAATGTATATACACCAAACATCAAGTACTAATAGCCAAAATGCTATATCGACTTCCTCCCGTTCATCTGCCAGAGCGATCGAGACCAAGTCAGATCATTTCGACCAAATTCAAAGTCTCCATGAACAACACAAAAATGGCCATAAAAAGTAATATAAAATCGTAAGTAAAGTTAACAACAATATTATCTTGAAGCGGGTTGGTATTCCTTCACAGCCATTAAACTTCTTATTAGCTCCAGGATTTCGCTACGCATATTAGCAACAGAACATGGGGTAACCTCCTCCACCACTGCACAAAACCAACCACCATCTCCATCGACCTCTTTCCTCTGCGCATACCAGCTACATATGCTTCTTGCTATGGCTGTAACATATAAACCACAATCATAACCGTTTACTTGCTGAGGCGACTCCATGCATTCCACATATCCGGGCTCAGACGTCAAATTCGAGTCGTTGCTGGTGAATCTAGCCACAGCTTTGTAGAGTCTCTTGGCGTGATGTTTATTCATCCCTCTGTTGCTGTCATGATGAATGAATGTGTTTGATTCTCTGTAAAAAGCAAGAAGACTCCAGTGGTTCCCACCTTCGGCCTTGCTAACATCGTCGTTGTCATTGACGGGGAAGATCACAAGCTTCTTGTTAAACAGATCGAGAGGTCGTAGGAAATCGTCGAGACTATTGGAGTCGGGGCAGTTCATTGTCCAGAAAGCAATTGAAGGTGGAGCTAGAAGGATGTCTTTAGAAGGATGGTATGAGGATAGATAGCTAAAATAGAACTCAATGATGCGATCATTCAGATAATATGGACCGCTAAGGATGTCCAAGTCTGATTTTCTGAGTACAACATCGTTGTAGCTTAAGATCTTCTTATCTCCTTCGGACTTCCTCATTCAGATCAGGTAAGAAATCCTGGTGAATGATGGGAAAAGAATGTTAATGCCAAATTTATACCACCTTCCTCATAAAAAGCTAGTATTTCCTAACAATAAGTAATAATTGTTTATAAAATAAAATAAATATCCACCAACAAAATTCCTTAGTTACATAAAATGAATAAAATAAATATCCACCGACAAAATTCCTTAGTCACATAAAATGCTATTTATGTTCAACTTGACAAGATGAGCATAGTCCAACAATTAAGATATTTTACCCATTCTCTAAAAGTCGGAAGTTCAATTTCCTATTTCACTTTTGTTGTTCTCAATAAAAATAATATATATAATATATATTCGACTTCCTTGAGCTAATTGTGATTTGTTTGTATTCAATATCTGATAAGTGCTAACAAGGACAGGAGTGGAGCTATGGACATTGATGAGTGGTCTCATTTATGCTATGCCCTGCATCATCTTTCGTCTGTGGGCAAAGTTTTACATTCCAACATTAAATTTAGGGAGCGAAACAACCTTAAGATTTGAACTCGTGTCGCCCCTTGTGCTAACATCTTTCAAGAAAGCCAAGAGTCTGCTGGAACCGCATTTAATTGCTGGAAAATGGCCATAAACTTATAAAATTGAACTCTAAAAAACTGACATTAACCCTAGCACTCCTTTCAAAATTAACCTCCCAGTAATTGAATTTATGTTCACCGGAGGGAATATGGTTCATGCCTAAGGGGTGATGGGAAAAATCAAGGCACCCGTTTTTCCATTGCCCATCCAGTACAATTTGATGGGATGCCCTCTGACTACATTCAACTCTTTTGGGCACCTCTTTCCAAAATTCACAAGAGAAATCTTTACTCAAAGTCAAGATAGTTTCTAATATTCTACTGCAAGGACTAAAGCCTTACTAAAGCCTCTACTTATATAAGAATTATCAACTAAGAAACTAAAACATTTACACCAAAAAACAGTTTAACGAACAAACTAACCATTATAGTTTTTTTTTCCCTTGATAAAAGGGAGTTGGAATTTTGCTCCCCTGTACCGAGGGACACCTATGCCCACCCCGAAGCACAAAGTAAAGGCAAATATTGTACAAAAACTAGGCAGGAGGAAGGATAAGGTGTTGTGGATTAATGCAAAAGCAACACCTTCAAGACTTCAGAAAGGAACCACAAATTGTTCAACGGTAAATCAAGATAATGGGAAGAAGTTTTGACTTAGCCAAGTTCCTCTGCTCATTTTGGAATTCTTTCTCTACCTCAACTGTAAACCTAAAGGCACTGGATAATTGATGAAAAACTTTTCAAGCAAAGACTAATGCTAGTTCTTCAAACACTGCCTGCAATTGATCAGGGAGCTTCTGACTACTCCATTTCTCTTTCTCATTAGAACCAGCCAAATTCTTTCTCCCCACTTGTCGTAGTAATAATTACTTCCCTTGAGCGTCGTAGTTGGAAAAACCTCACCCATGTTTGAATTGTAACAATATAAAAAGTTTCCCAAAAATATAACTGCTACCTTTTGAACCGGATGAAAAGTGTATCAAGTTATGGATCGTTAATCGGGGATTTTTTGGACTCTTTCCTCCATAATTTTCTAAAAACACGCCACAGTTTTCTCACCAGAATTAGTTCTTCATCATCTTCTTCTTCTTTTTTAATTTTCAAATAATAATTATACTCGAGCAACCACCAAGCCCAAACAATCGAGTACAAAATAGCATCTATGCTGGATTAGGGCTCTTGGCCATACTCAATTGCGGTGACAATATCTGCCTATACTGCTTGATTTTACCAGCATCAAACAATTCTCCGAGCTTCCTCAACAATCAAGAGAATAAAGATGCCACTGGAAATGATCTAAACATCATCGCCGCATAAATAATATAAATTTTATGTTCTTTTCGAGAAAGAAAATGTATAATAATTTGATTGGAGAGGAGGAAAAGTAATCTGGTAGAGGTAAATAAGAAACGGAACTTACTGAGCAAAAACTCCTGAAATTTCAGAATCAGATACCGATCTGGCTAATTTGTTCTTGTTCCAGTGAAGAACTTCCAACGCGAACTGCAGTGGAGAGGAACCTTCAGTAAAGTTGGGTTAGAAATTTCATTTTCGTGGAAGCTTCTCTATTAGAACGAAAGCGCGCTGTGTAATTATTACTTATCCCATTGGAAGAATACAATGTTCAAAACAATTTTGAATGATAATTAGATTTTACGGAAAATTGCTAATACCATCAGCTTCGAATAAAATAAATTATATTATTACAACATAACTCAAATCAAATCCTCACATTGTAAGTTCGAACTTCCACCTGTACTAAAAAAAATATTTTAATTTTTTTTATTTTTAATAAAAAATATATATATATTATTATCTTGCGCGCCCAGAGAAGGAATAAAAACAAATTAAAGAATAAAAACAAATTAAAGGAAAACTATGTAAAAAACTTGTATTTGTAAAATATTACTATTTTTTATTTTATATATATATAAAAGTTTCTGACGTGCAAAGATGACAAGTGTAGGGATTCAAATTATCAATCTCATAATTGGATGGACTAAATTATGCTCAATAAATTGTCCTAAATTTTAAAGGTTTGAATATACTCTAGTTGTCATTGGACACATCATGAGTTCGAATTCCAATAAAAAAAATTGATCCATTAACCCAATTACCAAGGTTGACTTAATTGTCGTAATTAATAAATCAAATCTCGATAAACAATGAGATTTGTATATACTATAGTTGTTTAGATCTTATTTTAGTTGTTCAACTTTTATTATATGTTGAGTAATTTTTTAAATGTATACTATAGTTTTTAAATTTGTTATAATTATTATTTTGATATATACAATTATAAAATATTTATTTCAATTCTTTTATAGGACATTTATTTTTCTTAATTAAAAAAATATAATTATTTTTGTTTTTACTATTATTATTACCCTTAATTAATGTGCGTCGAATACATGTTTTTTTAGAGAAAATAGAACAACATAAGAAGAAATGATTAAGGAATTCGACCTCAAAGAGGTAGGCCCGCCCTAACTTGTCTTCCCAGTTCCCAAGAAACTGTCTCCGACACTTCTTCTAGTCATATGTCATCTATATTGTCTTTCATTATCAACATCGCTATAATCTTGCTAAAACGAACATAGCTCAGCGATAATTGGCATATACTGAGTCCGATCTCCCGCCCCCACATGTTGTACTTGAAAAAAAAACATCGTTACAATGTAAATGTCAAAGTTATACATCTTTCATAAACCACTTGTTTGTTTGTTAAAAGTAAAATGAGGAGAGAACAAAAGTGATTCTTTTTTAAAATCTGATAGACATATTTGGAACATTCAACAACTAAAATAAATTAATACTAACAAATTTTGTAATTGAGGTAGGCATTCGAAAAGTTTAAAAGGCAGGATTATAATTTTGGGAAATAGATCAAAATTCAAACTAAAATTGATATGATGGGTCAATTCTCACCATAAATTTTTAATTCCACACCTTAAATTTTGATAAGTATTGTAATATTTACCCATTTATAAAAATGATGTAATTTTTACTTGATGGTAAATTTTTGTTTTAAGAATTGTTAAAAAAAAATCATATGCGTTAAATAAATTATAAAACATATATATGGTACGGAATTGATCGGATTAAAAAAAAACGATAATAGAGATTTGTTATTTTTCTAACTTTCGAGTTTTTGATAAAGCGACTTTTGTGTATACTGATTAACTTAATTTTGTGACGAGCTTAATTTTATTTAAAGTATTGAAGTTTTGAATTATTATTATTATTAATATTTTTTTGTTATGATTCTTGGGTGAGTTGGCATAAATTTAAGATAGGATAAATTTGGCAATATTTATCTATGTATATGATTAAATTTAATAAAATTAAAAGTTTATGATAAAAATTGATATTATTGGATAAATTTTGAGGTATAAATAAATTGATTTTTTCCATATATTTGTTAGGACTTTGACTATGACTTAAAACGAAACGGAGTAGCGAAAAGTGAAGTGAATAATTAATAAAGGTTTGTCGCTGCGTGGCATTCTTTAATAACTAAAGTTAAGTGCTAGCTGACGAACGTGAAAAGTCTTTTTCTTTCTTTTTTTCCTTAATTTTTTTTTTTCACGTTTCTTAAATTCCAGTTTACTGTAAAAAAGAGAAATAAATAACCAAAGAAACCATGAAATTATTAATTCTATTATAAGCCAGGCTAACCAGCCACGTAAATTCAACTTGTATTTTTTTTTTTCATACAACTTGTATTATGGTATAGAAAACAATATTTTTTAAGCATGTGCTTGACAATATCTACGTTAACTGAATTTTTAAAAAAAATTAATGACCTCAATTAATCAATAATTTTTTTTAATACAATATCCCGGGAAAGTATGGATACGAAGTCAATACTTTTTAATCGAAAATAGTGTCTTTGAGTTAAGTTTAAGTTAGCCGTTAATTCTTAACGGATCAATTTATGCTTAAATGTATAGTTTAACTAATAATCATCTTAATTTATCTATTCAATATAATATAATAATAACATTTTGTTTATTTATTTTCTTAAATGTGACTGTAGCTTGTTTTTTTAACAGTAAGAAGATTGAAGGGACACCAAAGTGAACATATAGCTCAAATATAATTAACATATATCTTCAATCGATAGGTTGTGCGTTCAATTCCCCTTAACGAAATGTTGATAAATATCTTTTATTATTCTTCTGTTATTGAAATATTATAAAAATAAATATTTTTAGCACGTAAAGTGTATAAATCATATAAATTAATATTAAATAGTCAATTACCATCCCAGTGATCAACATTTTATTAAAGATGTCAAAGCGACCATAACTCAGCAGTGATTGGCATAATCTCCTACCAAGAGGTTAGAGTTCGATCCCCACCACTACACGTTGTACTAAAAGAAAAACATTTTAGTAGCGATTATGTTATAGGGATAACGTGTGAATATTTTGAAATTTAAATACCACATATAAACTAAACCCCAATTTTTGTAACCTTTTGAAACATAGGAACTAAATAGAATTTAAACTCAAAATTTAAAGATAAAGTGTGACATTTTCAAACCTATCAACCAAATGAAAAACAAATTTAAAATTCGGGGACATAGCATCCTAGAAAAGAAAAAAAAAGATAAATTACTGCCATGAATATATCAATTGTCTTCTTAANATATTGGATATAGAAAAATATACATATATTAATATCTATTCTAAACGAAATTATTAATATCTTAACCCACTAAACTGTATTACTTGAAAACGTCATCATGGTTGTACTAACATTTAATGGCTATTTAATTAAAGAGTGGTGTTTTTTAAGTTCTGGGATTTATCCTCTTAAAAAAGCAATATATATACACACACAATAATAATAATAATAAATTTAAGCATCATGCCTATAGGACATATACATCCTATGAAAAGTCATTTTATTTCCCTTTTTAAAAAAGTCACTTTTATTATTCAATGAACCCTACAGTATATAATTATTTATGTTTGTGTAAAAGAAAATCAATATAGTTTATTATACTTAAAAGAAAAAAAGAAATCCATTTTTTAGTAAAGGGGAATCCAACCCATTGAACATTTTGAGATTATAATAAATGTCTTATTCATTTTCGTTGAAACAAGAAAGCACGAGCCACGTGGGACGAGCTCCATGGCCATGAGGGGTGTCGAGCTCCAAGACTGGTGTGCATGTATACAAGACTAAGGAGGTCATCTCGAGCACATTGTGAGCGGACCTTGGCGTCACCCAAAGTACGACCTATAGTAAGAAGCATATCACTAGCCCCCGAAATAGATGAGTAGACAGATGATATGGGTAACTACCATATACCCTTTATAAATACACCTTCACTTTGATACCATGTTACAATCTTCCAAAATAAGGAAGTGCTCTTCTCTACATTTAATAATAATGTAAGCTTACATATATATACAGATTACAATATCCAACTGCTAACCAAATAACTGTACTAATAACAACTTAGTAACATATTTAATATCTATCATTAACACGTTCCACTCAATCGGGTATAAAAAATATGTATGAAGCTAATATGTCTAGCTCGTACCAAATACTAATTTGAGCGTATGAGTGCTTTACTTATTTTTGTAAGTCTTCCCACCCAGCTCAGCTCGCCATATAAATTTCTCCTCTTGAGCTCGCTTACCAATCGGTTGCTAGAATCCAACCCATGTCACTCCGACGTTTTCATCAATGATTCTAATTGTACTCGAAAGACTCATATTTGTTCACACATTTTTTTAATGTAGCATTCTAATGGAGAAAAGAACATGGAATTATCAAAATACAAACGCTGATTCCAAATTAAACAAAATTGCAATTTTCTTTTTGTGCGATTCTTCCCATTGGGACATATTTAATACCAACAGAATGAAAATTGTGTTCACTTTATTACTTAGCTCTGAACAATATATTTTAAATTTACTAGTTTCGTCGTCCCATTTATTGTAGGTTAAAGATTTGTTATATAGTATTTTCTCCTTTTTGAATAGTTTTTACAAAAATAATAAATATAGATATAATAAAAGGTGTATCATTTGTTAAGAGAAAAAACATTTGACAAAATTAGACTAGATTTATCTATTGAATAACTAGAACGAATGTGTCCAAAAAAAGAAGAAGAAGAAAACTAGAATGAATTCTTATATATAAAAAACGAAAAGAACTTTTTTTTTATAGTTTTATTTAATTAGTTTTTACTTTGGTTTATTTTTGTTATTGTACTTCAAAACATATATTTTATTTTTATATATATATATATTTTTTTCACCTTAGTCCTCATAAACGTTTGCTTTTCATTATACTTTAAAAAAAGTGGTCATTTTTTATACCTTCGTTTTCATTTTATATCACTTATTTCAATAACAATTTTAACCTGATATTTCACTCAAAAAAATTATTAAAATTAATCATAAATTATTAAAACATTTCAATTATATATAAAATTTATAACTATAAATCAAAATCGTCATCTATTACAATCAAAATAGACGTTTTAAAAATAAGTACAAACAAATATAAGAATCAAAATAAAATATATGAGAAAAAATAATATTTAAATATTTTAGTTATGG